GTGTATGTTGCATTTGCTGCGACAACTGGCGACGAGTTGTTGGCAATTTTTCTCTCAATTTTTCCCATTTTTTTTGTTATTTTTTTTTTTGGTCTGCGGCTGCGACAAACGACAATTAAAATGCAAACAAATTGAATTTGTGTGCGAAAGGTTTGGCTCTGAAGTATGGCTCTTTTGGCTAAGTGTTTTGCGCCATAAACTCACGGCAAACGGGCAACAAACAACAACGGTGTTTGTTCGTTGTTGTTTTGTTGTCGCACGCGTGCTCGCAACATTTTTGCTGCTGCGAACGATTTGCGGCGAAAGTTGGCGTGCCGTTATTTTAATTGCAACATGTTGCCCGGTAATTTGTCTGGCACTCGTAAATGTTGCGACGCTAATTGCCGGCCAACAAAAAAATAATAATAAAAAAAAAAACAGCCCACAACAATGGTAACAACGACAGCAACAACAATGTTGCCAACACGTGTGGGTCGCCAGTTTTCCACACATTTTCTATGGCCCCTAAAAACTGATTTGTTTAGTTGAGCGTTAACGCCCTAAACCGCAGAATCCCACACCCCAAAAAATACCGCTCGACCCTCTTTGGAAAAACACCTCCTTTATGGGCCCTTTTGGCCATGGACATTAACCTGTCAACGTGGCCAAGTTTGCAACACTTTTAGTTGCCGGCCCGAAGGCGCAAGTTCAACTTAAGTACTTACTGCACTGGCGAACAAAACGGAAAATAATACAAGGTTTTAATATACAGGATTTCAATCATTAATGGCAAAATAATAGACACTGGAAACCTATTATTTATATATAATGAAATACTCTTTAACGTTTTTGTTTAAAAAAAAGTAATTCTTTTGAAGTATAATATTTTAATAAGGATAATTCTGGTAATTAAATATTAATTATTGCCAGACAACTAGAATAAAAATTTGATTAAAGCATTAATGCAATTTTTTTCGTCATCCTTCTTGTTTAAAATTTAAAAAAATAATCTAATCAATACAGTTGTTTATTTAAAAAGTTTAGCGAGAACATGATTATATTCTGATAATTATCTTTATTTTCCAAACTACTAAAACCAGATATGTTTTTTCCAATAGATTTTTAGAATGAATGAATGAAAAGAACTAAATATTTAAATACCCTGGAAACTCATATTTATTTCCGGATTTTAAGGGATCGACGATTTGATTTCAGTGCATTGTAACGCGCAGCCACTCCATCGCCATTCCAAGCGCGGCTCTAATCTATAGGCAGTAATCAAATTTGAGCTCGCAGCTACCAACTTGCAGCGTACGCGGCTTCCACAGCCCGTAATTATGCAACACATGTTCAATGCAACAATTGGCCATAATTTAGTCAAAGGTAATTGAGTAAGCCCCGTCTCAGAGCCTGGCTAACGCCAGGCCCCAGGTCCGCTCTATCATTATGCGGTCTCCAAACTGCGCGGACGGGCGAAAGACAGACAATGCCGGCCCCTGTCCCTCCCATCGAGTACGCACAGTAGTCCGGCTAAAAGTACAGGCAAACCTTGATTGACGACCACAATGGGGATTGAGTGATGGAGCTGCGCGATGCGGTGGTGCGGTGGTGGGTTGGTGCGGGAAGTAATGCATCCGAGGTGGTGCTTGCCACTGGGCGCCTGCCTGCCTTGTTTATTTATTTCTAGTTAGTCGCATTATCTAGCCGGACTGTTATTTAATTGTACGGCTCGATTGGATGAGCATCAAGCAGCCACCTGATTTGATGTGCACTGAAAGAAAACACTTCCTTAAAATCTTACCTAAACAGTTGATTTTCTTGACATTATATCACCCTTAATTAAGTGAAAAAAGTATGAAATCATTAGCTAAAACTTATAAGCTTAAGGCTAAGCTCTCCTATATCAAAAAATATAGAAGTTGCTACATATTTTAAACTGAAAGGTGCTTCAAAAATCAATTAATTATATGTTAACTTCCCAAGCACAACCATTTTTTTCCAAGTGCACCTCTCTACTGAAGAAATGTGTAGAAATTCTTGGTGCTGCATCGTATCCTTTGCTCCATAATAGCTCTGGTTAATGATTGTGGCCAATGTGAGCTAAGCGCTTGGCTAGCTGGTATCAAGGAAGATAGAAATTGTTCTTTAATTTGCGGAAATTGTTGGCAAAGTGCCGGCACAAAAATATCTGACAAAAGGAGAAGGTTAGGTTGGAGAAATATGTGGCATATTTAGTGCAATAATTTTGCATTTCCGCCGACAATTGCAATTCATCCCACAAATCGCAGCCCAGCAACAACAAAAATGCCAACCACCCACACAGAAACGCCTTGGGCCGGCCCACAGTACCGCCTTCCTATAGTTCGTATCTGGAATCTAGTATCTATAACCTTGCGCCGATTTCTCGAACAAACAATACACACACTCACTCTCAGAACCTTGCTCAGCAATTTGGATTGCAATTTTTGCGGTACAAAAATTATAAATTAAGTACTAATTACATGGACAACTACAACAACCATAAACAGCCAACGAGAAATCTGAGTGAAATCAAACGATTTGCCGCTTTTAATGTTCGCTGCGGCCACGCCCACCTAATGCCCAACGTGTGGGCGTTGCACTAATGAACACAGAAATCGAGAAAAAATGGAAATGTCGAAATATTTTGTAACAAATGGAAAAAGATATACAAGCACGGTAAAGCCAAAGAAATAAAAACTATTTTATTGATAAATCACAACAGTAGTTAACATTATTTATTGCAATTCGAATGTTATTGTCTTAATTATTTCTTTTGTGTTATTTAATTTTATCTTGCACTAAATATGTCTTACAGATAGCAGTAAAATTTTTATAGATTTATTATACTGAGGAATAAAGTTATTTAAATTAACAATTGTTTTACAAGCTTACAGTAGAGCAATTAGCCTATTTAAATAAATAAATAAGTATTTCAAAATACCAAACACTTCTTTTCAATTAATTGGGTTAAGAAATATTCTGTTTTTTGAATTTCATTAGAGAACTATTAAAAAATACATGCTTTATGTGATGTTATAGATTCAGGTCTTGGTCATTATTTTAATATTTTTTATTTAATCTGAATTAAAGAGGTATTTTTTATAATAGTATTTATTAGGCAGTCCATCTACAGATCAGGTTCTTTACTGTATTGAAATGCTTGGATGCCACATTTGATTGGTTGTTGTGTTGCCGTTCGTTGTTGCTGTCTTGAATGGGTGATAAATTATTTCCCGCCATTTACATAAATGCTTTGAATGCATTAATTAAAGTCCAAATGCCCTGACTCCCTCTTGCTCTAGCCAACCCAAGACCAACCCCCCGGCAACGCCCCCTCTCAAAATATCCAAGACTGCAGTTGCCGATATAATCAATTGTTTTTTATTATTGGGCCAGGCCCATAGAGAAGCCATTATACCATTACGATTAGCGGATCGGCCTTATATGTGCGAGTATCTGTATCTTTTGTTCGTTCGTCGTCGCCGGAGCTGCGTATCTGCATCTGGGGGATACATACATATAGTGGATATGCATAAGTATGTTCGCCATTTAAGTGGCTGCCGCCTAATTGTTCATAAAAGTCAACAGTCAATAGCTCTTTATGTTTGCGCTTGAAATTTATATTTATTTATTGTTATTTCTGTTCGCCAGTTTGGCGTTTCTGCAGCTTCATAATTTTTGTCAGGCATTTTTGCCCAGTTTGACTGTGCTTCGCATTCTGCAGTAGCCATTGGAAATGAGTTTTGTCTCTTTGAATTCCAAGGTCTGCCATTCCTTACAATTAGCAACTGAATTTATGAGCGATTTCAATTTCAATGCGGTTCGTTTGTTGCTTTTGCCCCAGCTTGGCTGATCTCTCTTGTGGGCTAACGAGCTTCTGGCCAAAAGCCACTGCAACGACGAATTCAAGAACAACAATGACAACCGTCTTAAATAACAAAGTCAAAGTCGCTGACAGCATTTGAAACTAATCAGAGCAAAGGGTCAATCAACAGTGCGTTTCGGAAATATATATCAGTTAGCTCCATTAAAAAGTTGTGCATGTGCAAAAAGTATTTTTCATGTGAAAGATGATAAATTTATTTACCAATTATAGCTAGTTTTTATTATATTATAAAAATTAAAACAGAAATACCTTTTATATTAAATAGCTTAAAACAATTAATATTTTAACTTAGGCTGACACATACTCTTCTATTTAATTCAATTAAAAATGTAAAAAAATCCCCACAACTATTTAAATGGGTGGGTGTAGTGATCATCTTGTCCCATGAAAAAACTGCAGTTATCAGCATTTAGATTCCACTTGGAATCACTCATTGGCACATTCCATCTGGCTGACATAATTTTCTTAGATCACCGCCCAGTTTAGCGCCCATTTATGCAATCATGTAATTTTATTAACAATATCTATGACATTTAGCAATTGTTTGGTCACGTTAGAACTGCCGAAGCCAGACCGCAAGCAATTACGTTTACGTGGTCGTGGTCAAAGGGGCAATTTGGTAGATGCTGCGATAAGCAATACACTGAAAGAAAAAACAATAGTAGTGAAATCAGAAAACAAAAAATTAAGCTTAAGTTGAATTTAATAGAAATTAGCGTTATCAAGTTAGAATATTACAACATGGATTACAAAAAAATTGGTTTAAATAAATTATAATAGGTTCAAATTAATTAATCAAAATTAATAATAAAGTCATTAATAAAGTTTTTTAAATATTGGGAGATTTCTTCAATAATTTTTAAAAGTTTCATAATTTTTTTTTCAATTTTAATTTTAATTTCAATATGAAACTGGGCGTTTTTTCTCAGTGCATTCACCCGCGCACGACTTGCTCTTGGACTTCGACTTCAACATCGCCTCTGACTTCCACTTCAACCTCAAGTTATTGACAATGCAATGTAATTGTTTCCGATAGAGATCTTGGCCAGGCCTTAAAACCGCAAAGGCTTTGTATTGCGAGTCTCAGTGTCCTTTTTTCAGGCTGGACTGCATCATGTGTCGCTTGCTGATTTTCATACTAATTGTACTGTTCTTCGAGACATCCAAATGTTGGTCGGCCAGAGAGGTTATAAATCAGCTTAATAAAGATCTGCAACTACATCTTAATATTTACTTGGATTGCGGCGACATGGAGTTACGATTCAATCAGGAAGTGCCCAATTTATTACTGAATACTCTTGAGGAGCAACAAAAATTATTGGGTAGATTCAGTGCGCGTTCTTTGATCATCGCCTGTTTGAAAGAATCTACAGAAAATAGAACCTTGAATGGAATAAGGGAACTACTCTGGGGAATACAGCACTTACACATGATTTATATCGTAAATTCAAAAATGGATTTTTATTTTAAGCAAGCTTTAGGCGGGGGCTTTCTTCATGTGCTGGTTTTAAATAATGGAACGCTGTATACTTACCAACCATATCCAAAAATTCAAATTCATCAAATTAAAGATATGAAGGAATTTTATGATTTAACAAAGATGAGAAATCTGCAAGGACTGGCGGTTCACACCACTGTGGAGACGATGACTCCTAGATGTTTTCACTACAAAAATCGTCAAGGGAAAGTAGTCTATGCTGGTTATATGTATAAGCTGCTAAAGGGATTTATTGAAACCTACAATGGCACTGAGAAGCATGTTTTTGCTAATATGGAAACAGTACCCTATAAATTGGGTTTGAGTGCATTTGCAAATGGTGAAATCGATATGGTTCCACGGATTATACACGCCATGGATTGGAAATATTACCACCGCAGTCATATTTTTTACAACATTAAGACTTTTCTTATGGTTCCTTGGGCTGAACCATTGCCAAAATGTTGGTACTTTATTCAACCTTTTTATTGGACAGTTTGGATAACATTCATCGCGGGCTTTATCTATGCCTCTGTTTTGATCTGGTGGATAAGATTTAGACAGGATGAGGGGTCTTCTTTATCTTCCACCTTTTTGGATGTCCTGCAGCTTTTGTTTCTACTTCCGGTGAGCAAAATCTGGCATTTTAGACTGGGAATACCTTCTGCACTCAGCTTTATTGTTCTTTTCACCGTTGGATTTATTCTGACCAATCTCTATACCGCTCAATTATCAAGTTCATTAACTACTGGCTTATTTAAGAGGCAACTCAACACCTTTGATGATCTATTTCGGGAAAAACGGATATTCCTAGTGGAAAGTTTCGACGCGAATGTTCTACACAATATGATCAAGGAAAAGATCATTCAAAAAGAGTTTCAAAATATAACTCAAGTTACTTCGATAAAGGAGGTCTTTAAACTTCGGAAGAGCCTCAATACTAGTTACGTATATGAGGCCTATGAAGATCGCATTTCATTTGAACTGTTACAGCAAAAATATCTTCGAGTGCCGATTTTCAAGACTTTGAAGGAGGTCTACGACCAAAGGCCCGTTTTTGTGGCACTCCGTCATGGATTGCCATATGTGGAACTAGTTAACGATTATCTTCGGAGAACCTGGGAGTCGGGAATATGGTTAAAGCTTCAAAAGGACGCCAACTTTGAGGGAATTTCCAGTGGTGAAATTAGCTTTCGGAAATCGAAGTCCTGGGAGATTCAGGTCTTCGATAAGGATTTTTATTTTTTTGCCTATATTTTATTGGTACTGGGATGGCTTGCTGGCGCAATAGTCTTTTTATTAGAGAAGATTTTTAGGGACTGTAACCGGTCATAAAAAAGGTATGAAAATTCGTCTAATCATATATAAATCATATTTATCATAAAACTGTAATTGATGTAATGAGGGTTGGCAATTCCAAGTTAAGGAAATAAATAAGCACATCTGAATTTGTGTAAGAAATCTTTTACTTCCCCCAATATCAGCATATGACTTGGAACTTTTCTGTATACCTTTAGCCTCCTATTATTTATGTTAGAACTGGCGTTTTCATTATGCACCACTTTAATGATATAATGATACCATTTAGAGGGCTGTGTTATATGGCCTATAAAAGAAGCTCGAAGCAGAGGATTTCAGAGTATTTTAAATGGATTTGCTGTACATCAACACGCTTCAGAGCCTTTCGTTACTCGGAGGCAATCGCTTGGGGCAAACAATTCAGGAGTTAAATACGATTAATCAAATGGAACTCAATGTGTTTTTGGAGTTTGGCAATGGTTCAGAAATCTTAAGAGCAGCTCGACAGCCTTTTATACCCAGCATTTGGATCACAAATACGGAAAAGCAAATGGTTTTGGAAGGAAACTTCAGCAGTAAAACCCTAACAGTTTTGTATCTTGAAGATGAGCATCTAAAAAGTGGTCTTAACTACCTGAAAAATTGGCTGTGGAAATATCATCATCTTCAAGTGTTGATATTTTACAACGGAGGTACTTATGAAAAATTATCATATATATTCAGTCATTGCTTTAAAGAAGGTTTGGTTAAAACACTGGCAATGTTACCGGATTCGGAAAAAATCTATGGTTTTCTGCCATATCAAGATATGAGAATTTTGCACTTGCGTAGTGTGAAGGAGTACTATGAAAAATTTCGTCTTAATTGGAATTTTAATGGCTATAATATCACAAGCGGTCTTGTAACAGCTGGAGCTCCTCGTTGGTTTTCCTTTACGGATCGTCATAATCGATTAGTGCTATCTGGATATATGCTTCGGATGATTGTGGACTTTACAAAGCACTTTAATGGATCCATTCGACTAATGAACGTGGTAACTGTTAACGAGGGTCTTGAACTTTTAGCCAATCATTCGATAGACTTTTTCCCCTTTTTAATCAGACCACTTGAAAAGTTCTCGATGACCAATATTCTTTATCTGGAAAATTGTGGTCTTATAGTGCCCACATCAAGACTTTTGCCTAACTCGGTTTATTTGCTAAGGCCTTTTACATTTAGCACACGGATAATCTGGATAATAATGATAATATATTGCTCCCTAGCATTGAGAATTTTGTCTAGAGGACAAATAAACTTAAGTGGAGCTTTTCTGCAAATTCTCCGATTGGTTTTGTTTCTCTCAGGAGGCAAATTTATGGGCCATCGACCATCTCATCATCGCCTCGTACTCTTTATAATATTAACCACTGCAGGACTTATATTTACCAATCTTTACCTGGCTAAACTTTCTAGTAATTTAACTGCAGGACTTTACGAAAAACAAATAAACACATGGGAGGATTTGGACGAAATCGATGGAATTTGGCCCTTGATTGATGTTGACATTATTACTATGCAAAAATTAATTCCCGATAGAGTGAAACTATTGAAACGCATAGCAACTACATCGGAAGCTGATGTAGATATGTATCGCCGAAACTTAAATACAAGCTGTATTCACTCGGGATTTTACGATCGCCTTGAGTTTGCTCTCTATCAGCAAAAATTCCTTAGATTTCCCATTTTCCGGAAGTTTCCACATATCCTGTACCAGCAACCTCTTCAAATCCCAGCTGCATTTGGACGACCTTATTTTCAGTTGTTCAATTGGTTTGTGAGAAAAATATTTGAGAGTGGAATTTATCTGAAAATGAAGGACGATGCCTATCGACATGGCATTCAGAGTGGCTTACTGAATTTCGGATTTCGTGATCGGCATTTGGAAGTGAAATCGAATGATTTGGAATATTATTACCTCATTGCGGGATTGTGGCTGGGTGGTTTGACTTTGGCTACCGTTTCATTTATCGTTGAATTATTAATTGGATTTACTAAAATTAATGTAACTATAGACTTTAAAATGATTTATTGAGAATTTTCTGAAAAAAAAATGTATGTTCTAATGTTCGAATATTATTGTTAAAATAATTAAAGAGTATTATAAATGTTTGTTAGCAAATAACTATTGTACCCAAAACAATTACTTCTTCAAAATAAAAGCTTTACATTCATGTATTAAGTGGTTTAGTGTTCACTTATTTAATAAATATCAAGAAACTACGACTACCTAATAACTAATATTTAGCAAATAACTTTTGAATACCCAATTCGGAGAGTACAATTACTGGTGTCATATTTTATTGCTCAGCGGGGCTTTGAAATAAACTTTGGTCACAACCATTTTCTTCACATAACTCTCCACCCAACTGTAATTACAACGAAAATACGCTAAAATATTTTGCCGGCAAGGTGACGCCTCCCTTGCGGCCTCATTTGCATGCCTGCTGGCTGCACTTGTCGCGGCTCAAAATCCACTGGCCAAATGGCCAAACGGCCAAATGGCAACCTGCAACTGGCAATTGGCAACTGGCAGCCGGCCAAAGCTGCAACTGCCTCCGAAGGTGTCTTCGATTATTGCCAAACATTAATTATTTGCGCGCGATTTGGCGCCCGCCTCCTTTTTTGTGAAAGGCCTGGGCTAGTAGTTCAAATGTTTATTTTTCTGCTCTCCCCGGTGTATCTTTGATTGCTGGCTACACAGTGGGAAAGTTTATGTTCAATAATAAAACGATTTCAAGCCAAAATAAACCTCTAATTAATATTGTTGTCGTTTTAAAATATGATCAATTTTTTTTCCATTATACATTTATTTTAAACGAATTCAATTTTTTATAATATTATCAATCTTGGATTAAACTTCTTCTTTTATAATGCTAGTTACTGAATATGCTAGAACCTATGAAGCATTTTTTTTTGGAAGGATAATGTTTTTCAATACGAAAAAGTTTTCCTTATTAAGATATTAAAAACTCTAAAAATGTAGCTTAAATACAATTTGGATTTTCTTTGTTGTGTAAAATCATCAGACACAGGCAGCAATTTTTGCGCAACGAATGTTAGACGAGGGACGGTCAGGTCGGATCTCTGTCCTCCAGCCTGGCTTATTTATTTTTGGCCAAAATTGCACATTTTCCCATGCTGCTGTTGCCGGTTGTTGTTGTTGTTGTTGTTGCTGTTTCCAGCCAATGTTGCCAGTTGTTGCTCGGTGATGTTGTTGTTGTCGCGTCTAATCAAGGAGCGGAGTTAAGAGTTAAGAGTCGCTGCCTTGGTCGCCCCATTGCCATTTAGCCCGAAGCGGTCGCCGCAGCCAAAACGATGAATATTGATTTAATTGAAAGTCATTGAAGCACACGTACTTTATAGACACGAGTTGTGGTACCCTTTAAGTGGGCATGATGTAATGGGGGAAAGGACTCAATCATGTTCAATTTACTTTTGTCAATATTTTCTTTCTGCTGTGCTTGTCAATTTTTAGAGATTAAAAAGCTGTTGGTATTTATAATAATATAATTAGAGTCCTATTAAAAAAATATTCTTAATGGTAAAGGTATATTTTTTTGTTCTAGTTATTTATAACAATTAAAATTTTCAAAATTTTTCAAATAATGCCAAATAACATTCTTTAGACAAGTTTAGTTCATTGTGTGTATTATTTTAAATTTTCTTAGTTATTTTTAAAAAGAAGATTCAGAATATTATTATATTTTTATCCTATTGTTAAATGGTAAACGTAGGCTTAGACTTAAAACTAATTATACTTTATATCAAAACACAGACAAGGAATGTTTTCATAAATTAGCCAACGCGGATCATCAGCACTCCTACTTAATTTTTAAAAAAATTATAACAATTGAAACTTGTTTGTAATAGAGGTATCTATAACTTCGATTCTTGGATATTTTTTATCTGCTGCGGCTTTCCATTTGGCGTGGCAGCGAACCGACCGCCGATCACAGCCTGTGCCCTCCCACATGCCAACATCTTCACACAAAAACACACTACACACACACACCCAAATGTGGGGAACCGACGCCCCGGCAAAAGTTTTTGCCGTATTTGCTGTTGTTGCTGGCACATTGACACAGTTTTCCATGGCAGATGTGCCCAAGCCCTGCCCCCTGCCCCCTGCCCCCCGCTCCCCGCTTTCCACTCCACACCCTCCTCCTTGCCCCTTGATTTTCCCTCCCGTTGTTCTGTCTCCCCATATTGGAATTTTGTCGACTTGTTTTTCTTTTTTCCACTTCGGCATCGTCGACGTTGGCGATGCTGCCAAATGTCAAAAGGTTAATACGTGAATTAACAGCAAATTTCTTTGACTTGTGTGTGACTGCAAGCTGCTAGTTGCTGCTGATGATACACGGAAAATATTTCTTTTTATAAGAAAAACATATTTTTTCCATTAATTTATATATTTTTTTAACCTGTTGTGACATTTCTCTTTAAATGTTGTCTTAACAATGCTGTTAAGCGACGTTTACTTTAAGTAATAAATTATATAGCTTTAAACCATTTTTATTTGACGACTAAATTAAAATATTTTTAGATTACAAAAATCCCTATCTAAACATTGTTTGCATACTATTCATTATAAAATTTCAAGGTTACACTTATTCTATCTTAAAAAGAATTTAACAATGTTTTCGCATTTGAATTGTTAAGCCAAATAAGACGAAGATTATTGTTTTACACATGCTATTTTGTTCTTTTTATTTAAAATCCAATCTGAGTTAATTTATTTTCCAGTGTAGTTGCTGTTACTAGTCGCTGTTTTTCATGCAGCTGCTGCTGCTGGCGCTTTCCTTGGAATGCGGGCGTTGCTGTGTTTGTTTATTTTCTTTTAGGCGGCTCCGCTTTTCTCGTGGTCTCCCTAATGCATTTGGGACACCAGCATGTGGTCGCTATGGATGATTTTCGTGTGGTGGCTTTACAACATATTACATTAAAATGTTTTTTTGAGTCCATTCTTTAAAGCTTTTCGCCTTCTATGCTAATAAATCAATAGCAGTTTTGGACGGGCGAATTCCGATCATTTTCCCAGGGTTTACTTAAGTGGGGGCTTACCCAAGAAACACCTAAACATTTTTTAAGTTTCCCACATGAGTTGAAAAATGTATTTAAGAGGAACTTACAACTTATTTTTATACCCTTGCAGAACGTATTATAATTTCAATCAAGAGTTTTTAACGAATAAAAGGGCAGTTTTACGACAGTATACATATCAAGATCAAGAGATCAGTATCGGAAAATCGACATTGTTTTTAATCATTGAAATCAAAATATAGAATATTTAATAATTTTAGAAGCTCTGATATCGGCTTAAATTTGGAGAAGTTATAAGCTTTAGAAATCCAATTGTAGAAATAAAATTGATACAATAAATTAGCAAGAACAAACTTCTTCGACTTGTCGAACAAACATTAAACATTTTACAAGCCGATTTCAGAGTGGCAGCTTCTTAAGAATGGCAGCTTAATTCTCTTAAAAGCTGCATTAGATTTTTCAGACTACCCCAAATTGGACTTCTAGAGTCCATAACTTTATCAAATTTAATCCGATTTCAAAGTGACATACCTCTGACGACTTGTGGTTTGATTCTCTAAAAATCTGCATTCAAAATTATCATTTTAACGTTGGTCAAATTTTTGACCCATTTTCATGTTAGTTATTTGTAAGATTCCAATGACTTGTAAACATTTTACCTGAACTTGGATTTCTAGAGTCTATAACTTTTTCAAATTTAATCCGATTTCAAAGTGACATACTTCTAAAGACTTGTGATTTGATCCTCTAAAAATCTGCATTCAAAATTATCATTTTAACGTTGGTCAAATTTTTGACCCATTTTCATGTTAGTTATTTGTAAGATTCCAATGACTTGTAAACAGTTTACCCCAATTTGGACTTCCAGAGTCCATAACTTTTTCAAATTTAATCCGATTTCAAAGTGACATACCTCTAAAGACTTGTGGTTTGATCCTCTAAAAATCTGCACTAAAATTTATCATTTTAACGTTGGTCAAATTTTTGACCCATTTTCATGTTAGTTATTTGTAAGATTCCAATGACCTGTAAACAGTTTACCCCAATTTGGACTTCCAGAGTCCATAACTTTTTCAAATTTAATCCGATTTCAAAGTGACATACTTCTAAAGACTTGTGGTTTGGTTCTCTAAAAATCTGCATTCAAATTTATCATTTTAACGTTGGTCAAATTTTTGACCCATTTTCATGTTAGTTATTTGTAAGATTCCAATGACCTGTAAACAGTTTACCCCAATTTGGACTTACAGAGTCCATAACTTTTTCAAATTTCATCCGATTTCAAAGTGACATACCTCTAGAGACTTGTGGTTTGATTCTCTAAAAATCTGCATTCAAAATTATCATTTTAACGTTGGTCAAATTTTTGACCCATTTTCATGTTAGTTATTTGTAAGATTCCAATGACCTGTAAACAGTTTACCCCAATTTGGACTTCCAGAGTCCATAACTTTTTCAAATTTAATCCGATTTCAAAGTGACATACCTCTAAAGACTTGTGGTTTGATCCTCTAAAAATCTGCACTAAAATTTATCATTTTAACGTTGGTCAAATTTTTGACCCATTTTCATGTTAGTTATTTGTAAGATTCCAATGACTTGTAAACAGTTTACCCCAATTTGGACTTCCCGAGTCCATAACTTTTTTAAATTTAATCCGATTTCAAAGTGACATACCTCTAAAGACTTGTGGTTTGATCCTCTAAAAATCTGCATTAAAATTTATCATTTTAACGTTGGTCAAATATTTGACCCATTTTCATGTTAGTTATTTGTAAGATTCCAATGACTTGTAAACAGTTTACCCCGATTTGGACTTCCAGAGTCCATAACTTTTTCAAATTTAATCCGATTTCAAAGTGACATACCTCAAAAGACTTGTGGTTTGATCCTCTAAAAATCTGCATTAAAATTTATCATTTTAACGTTAGTCAAATTTTTGACCCATTTTCATGTTAGTTATTTGTAAGATGCCAATGACTTGTAAACAGT